ATCTGTATCTCTTGTTTGTAGTCCCTAAACTAATTTCTGTTCTTATTGCATTATAGTCTGTAAAGGATGCATCAACTATTTTGGCCTTTTTACATTTGTTTGCAATATATGCCCCAGTACATGATCAATTTTTGTAAGAGTCCCATGTGGTACAGAGAAATATGTATATTCTTTTGCTGTCCCATTTAGAAGATGCCATGAGTCTTTTAACTCTAGTTTCTCCAGAAATTAGCTCAGCCCCACATTTTCCCTTTTGTTTATTTCTCTGTTAGATTTACCCAAAACTGATAGAGAATATTGAAGTCTTTTGTCACTGTTGTGTCACTGTCTATTTTTTTCTTTTTTCTTTGCTAGGCAATGGGGTTAAGTGACTTGCCCAGGGTCACACAGCTAGTAAGTGTTATGTGTCTGAGGCCAGATTTGAGCTCAGGTCTTCCTGTCTCCAGGGCCAGTGCTCTATCCATGTGCCACCTACCTGCCCATTACTGTCTATTTTTTCTTGAAGCTCAGATGATGTTTCTTTTATGAATTTGTATGCTAAGGCATTTGGAGTATGTAAGTTCATTACTGATGTTGGTTTGTTCTCTAAGGTTCTTTTCAATATATTATAGTTTTCTTGTTTATCCCTTTTTATTTTCTGAGTGCTTGATTTTTCTTTGTCCAATAGCATGATAGCAAGTCTTGCTTTTGGGGTTCACTTGATGAATGTAAATTTTTCCATCCCCGCAGCTTTGTTTTATGTGTTTCCTTGTTTTTTAAATGTATTTTTTTAAAGTGATAGATTGTAGGGTTTTCTTACCCAATCTGTCATTTTTTTCCATTTTATTTTATTGTTTAATCCATCCACATTTAAAGTTATGAGTTAGTTTTATACTTTCCTTCATCTATCTCTTAAATTAAGTTTTTTTCCAAGTTATGATTTTCCCCCTTCTGATGTAAACAAAATATTATGTTCCTACAATTATTTTGCTTTAATCTCTTTTTTTTTCTTGGTGGCCCTCTTCCCACTGGCTCTCTTCCCCTCACCTTATCCTCTGTTCTTGTTTGTTAACACTTTCTTTTTAGGGTTTTTCCTTTCCTCTGCTTTTATCTAACTATATGTATATTTTCCCCCCCTCTTTTTTCCTCTCAGTTAGTCAAGTAGATTCCCCCTCCCTCTCCTCCCATTCAGCTAATCCTGTTCATTAGTTTTTAATTTTCATTTTTACACTCCTTTCCAAAAAGAATTTCTCTCATTCTCTTCATTATCTGTCTTCTCTTTCTGTTTACTCTAGACGGACATTTTCTGATTCATGACTCCTTTAATCATCTGGTCTCTCTTTTATCTATATTTTTCGTACAATCAAGGCTTCCGAGGTATCCATCCTAGGCTCTGCCACCTAGTAGGGCTTATCTCATGAATTCTTCTTTTCCGTTGTATCTCACTCTCAAAACATTCCAATTATTGCATGTTAGAGAGAGAACGCTGTCCCACGATAAGGCACTTCTCCCACCCCCACTTCCACCTCCTTGCCTGCCTTAATCTATATTCTCATTGTTGATCTTTCCCCCCTACATTTGCCTGGAAACTTCTTCCATGTGTCCATGTTCTCCTACTCCTCCAAGTCCCAAGTGCCCCCCAAGAGTTACAAATCCTTGCTTCCCAGGACAAGTAGACTTTTCAGACACCAAGTCCTCCAGGTGTCATCATCCAGTGCAAGGCCCTCATCTTCCTTCACACATAAGAGTATTGCTCAATAAAACATCTCTCACCCCCAAAGTAAGGCCTACTTCCTTTCCCCCCTTTTTTTCAATCTTTTTCTCCTCTTCCTCATCCTTCCTCATCCTTCCTCATTTCCCTGTAGTGAACTCCTCTGTTCTGTTTCTAAGACCAGAAAGACCTTCCCCTCATTTCAAGGTCTTAATTTGACTCTGGTGCATCACTCCCTCTTTTCTATTTCCTTTCTCCCCTCTTCCTTTTTATGTTCCCCTCTCCTATTGTAATGTAGACCTACAAAATAAATATTCATCTGTAGGCAGGGGGTCTCCAGGCTCTGTTCATAATGCCCTCATCCACCTCTTCATGGTTACCTTTACCAGATTTCCACCTTCAATCCTGTCTCCTTGTGTACATTTAGAAAGCAGTCTCATACTGGTCTTTCTGTTGTCATTCTGTTGCTGCTGCTACTGTCCTTACCTGATGCATTTATTGACTCCTCTTGCATTTCTATTGTTTGGAGTGTTAGAGAAGGAAATAATCTCCTCAGTCTTGGTTTTCTCTCTAAAAATGTTTCAAACACTGTATTATTGAATGTCCATCTGTGTGGTTAAGCTCAGATTTGTGGGATAGGTCATCCTGGGCTGAATCCTGAGCTCCAGTGTTCTGTGGAACACATTATTCTATTCCTTCCACCTTTTTCTAGTAGGTTATTTATTTTAATATCCTTTCCTTTGTATTTGAAGTGCTTTCTCCTGATGGCTTGCTGAACTTGTTTATGAATTGAATTGTTAAATATAACTACTTTGTGTCTTGGAGTTAGTATCCTTAGTTTTGGCGGTTTTTTTTTCTAGAGGTGATCTGTGAACTCTTTGAAGTGTTATTTCATTGTCTCTGTTTAGAAGTTCTGGACAATCTTCTTCTATAGTGTTAAAGGTTTTGCTTTGTTTTGTTTTTTGTCCTGTCACGTTCTGGGAATCCTCAAAAAAATCCGCTTTCAATAGTGCCTTGGGCATATATGTTCCCTCCATGTGTGCCTCTCTATTAGTGTATTCTGTGTGTATGCCCACTCTTCCCACTAAAATAGGGCAGATTTGTAAGGTAATGTCCCCCAGGTTTATAGGGATGAGAACATTTTTTTTTCTTTTGCAATTGTCCATGCTATTTCTATAGATGTAGATGGCTTTACTTTGATCTGATTGTGTCAAAGATGAATGTACTGGTTGGGACTTGCAAGCTCTAGTTTTAGGAGTGCAGACCCATAGAATACCTAGATTTGGGTAGCTCTACCCTGGGAGAACCAACCCATAAATGCAAGTTAGGAGGGGGAGGTAACCCAGAAAATGCACTGCATAGAAAATAATGATATCTCTGCCACAAACTCAATTAGTTCAGCAATCACTGTATGTAACTATGAAGATTTTCTTAATTGAATTTTATAGAATAAGAATTTCATCTGTATAACCAACACAAACATAAGAGTTGAGCAAGGGAGTACATTGGCTGTTTACATACTGTCCCAAACTCTGCTTTACTCCAATTGTGTAGACCCAAACCAGGACTGTGAAGGAATGAGATAAAAAAGCCAAGCCTTCATATTCAGAATATTCAGTAGGCCACCTTCTGTTTTTAGGTTGTAACTTCTTATTTGTTTTCCACAGATAATTCCAAGAATCATCTACATTTGATCAAGTTTTTTCCAAGTATTTGAAAAAATGAAAAGATTTGGATCCTATCCAAGCTTCTACCAAGTCCCAGCCTATTCAAGTCCTACCCTTAGGAACAGATAGTACACAATATGGTGTCACGCAAGACAGAAACTCAAAAGTATCCTCATTACACATTACACATTATCAGCAAAGAGCCCAGTAAATTATCATAGGCTCCTATCTCTCAAGAGCATGACATAGGCTGGGAACACCGCCTAAATAAACAGCCATTTTTAACTTTGACAAATGCAATACACCATGTGATCCTTTTGAGATTCAGATAAAATGGGAGGACAGCACCATATCTGCTTGGGAGGCATGCTTTTTTTTTTTTCATTTTAACATTAGATGTGTGTGCTTATAAAGGATTACCAAGTTCTGGACAGATAGCACTGGACTACTGTCCCCAAGCATTGATCCTACACCAGTGAGTCACCATTGCTTAATGGTACCAACATATTACCTCAATATAAACCTGGGATGGATGTATCTAATAGAAAGCCTTTCTTGATTCCCCTCCCTACCCAGTAATTACTTTTCTCTTTCTATTCAGATAATCATGCATATCCTTATCTTTTTTCCTGTTGTATGGAGAGACTATTTTTCATTTTGTCTTAGTAATTCCAACACCTACCACAGTGCTTTGCTAGGGATAAGAATCGGACCTGTGATTTAACAATATTAGTTAGCATTTATATAAGGTTTTTACAAATATTATCCCATTTTACCCTCACAACAACCCTGAGAGGTAAGTGCTATTATCATCCCTATTTTACAGATGAGGAAACTGAGGCTGATAGAGCTTAAATGACGTGCCTTGTTGTTGTTGTTGTTGTTGTTCAGTAGTTTTCAGGTGTGTTTGATTCTTCATGGACCATTTTCTTGGCAAAGATCCTGAGGCAGTTTGCCATTTCCTTCTCCACCTCATTTTACAGGTAAGGAAACTGAGGTAAACAGAGTTAAGGAACTTGCTTAGGGTCACACAGATAGTGTCAGAGTGTCTGAGGCCAGATTTGAATTCAGGTCTTCCTAACTCCAGGTCCAGCATTCTATTGACTACACCACCTAGCTGCTATAGGGAATGCCTTGGTGAGAAAATTCTACCAATGCAGATCAATAGCTTTTCTGCATTTTATAGGCTTAGTTACCTAAAGTCAAGGTGTGTGTGTGTGTGTGTGTGTGTGTGTGTGTGTTTGTAAATATAAATAATCATAGTTTTAGATCTGAGAAACTTCAAAGGCTCTCTTCTTCAATCCCTCATTTTACAGATGAATAAACTGAGACCCAGAGAAGTTAAGAGGCTTGCCCAGAGTCACACAGATAGTGCCAGACAGAAGTACTATTTGAACCCAGGTCATCTGACTCCAAGGTTTTTTTGTTTTGTTGTGTTTTTGTTTTGTTTTTTTGCTGCACCATTTGAAAGGCATCAATTCTACCCAGTCATTTATTCTTGCTAAATTACTCTGCTGTGGAGTCAGTCCTTGAGCCTGCAGAGCCTGGAGACCCAAAGACATAGTTAGAATTATTTACTCAGAAATCAATTATGCAATGTCCAGGGCCAGTGAGCGTAGCCAGCTCCACATAAAAGGGCCCTGTTCCTCTCTCCCAGCACTCTGGAGGCATAACTGAAATGGCAAACAGAACTAACTCTACTAACTCTAACTCTTACTATGGCTACGAATACTATATGGACTATCTGGATCTTCCTCAAGTAGATGAAAGAAAGTTGAAGGCTAACAAATGTAAGTACTGAGCATTCAATTAAACTGTTAAGGAAATATTATTAAGGCACAGAAGCTGGGACAGCTGGCCCAAATAGCCTCACATTTTTTATGATTGACATTAAAAAAAGTCTTTGAATATGTCCTGTATTATGACAGCTCACACAACTGTTAGTTGATGCTGATACATTTTTTCTAAGAAAATGTTATCAAAGTTAACTTTGACTTTTTGTGTGTGTGTGTGTGTGTGTGTGTGTGTATGATTTTATTGGTGTGGAAATTCCTCCCACTGCTGCAGGTCAGCAACTATATCTACATCTATATCTATCTATCTATCTATCTATCTATCTATCTATCTATCTATCTATCTATCTATCTATCTATTTGTCTGTCTATCTATCCATCTATCTATGTAAATATATGCCTGTGTGATTATTTATATATTATGTTCCCCAACTGCATTAGAATGCATCTTCCTTGAGGGCAGAGACATGTTTTTGTCTTTCTTTGTACCCCCAAAGTACAGTCCTTGGCACACGGGAAGCACTTTATAAATGTTTGCTGACTGGCTGATTGACTGTATCTTATCGTCTTAGAGATCTTTCTGGGACACCAAGAGATTAAATGAATTGCCCATGGTCATACAGACAGTATACGTCAGAGAAAGGACATGAATGCAGATCTTCTCAACTCCAAGACCTGTCCTCTACCTCTATCCTGTGCTTTCTCTCTTCAAACTTGTTAAAGGATATAATTTTTAAAATAAACACTTCAGTAGTGTATTTTTTAAGTCCTATTTCCTAATACAGTTAAACTTAGTTTTGCCATGAAGTAATTGTGTATTACTTCAAGTTGTGTATTTAATATTTTCCAGCAAAAAAGTATAGTATGTATGTATTTTCCCCATGTTACTATTTGCTACCTGCATAATTTTCTAAAAATTACCCCAAATTATTCAATCATAACAGCTAGATAAAAACAGACTCACAATAAACTTAGTTCAGCATCCATTTTGTCAGTCTTATTCCCAGTTCCCCTCTTGTTGATCTTCATCTCTTTTGCAAGATTTTCTTGTCATCATTTGCACTATGGACTAAGCCAGCATAGCAAACAATGAATAGAGGTAATAGGCACAGAATATTGGGTGACAGTCAGAAACCTGAGCTTAACTTATGCACACAAGGAAGCTTGGTCACCTTAGATACTACACATTCATTGTAATCATACCGTCTCTGTCAGAACATAAATGCAGTCACTGAAAGGAACTGATCTTATGTGCTTTTCTTGTACAAAGGGATAGTACACCATAGTCTAAAACTCTAATGTCTTGAGATGTGGTATTTTTATAAAAAATATGGCAGGCTGTTGGAACATTGATGATTGCCATCAAGGCCACATTATTTAGGAGCATTTAAATAAATTTTTGGTTTAATTTATTATTTCCAGAGTTTAGTGTGTGTTTTTAAGGTATCGTCAGTCAGTCAGGATATGCTGATCATATACTATGCACCTACCACTATGATAGGTGCTAATCACTCTCTTCTGGATTTTTTCTTCTTAAATGCTTGGTAAATACAACAGCCACACTCAGTATTACCACCTTGAGATATGGCATTTTATCTAAAATAAAAAGTATAATGATGGTTGTGAAGGGCAAAGAGGTATATATGAAGGTATTGTTGTCAAAGGCACAGAGTTTTATGAAATAGCGCTGACCTGGGAATCAGGAAACCAGGGTTCCAGTCATCACTCCGTTATCTGTTATATTTTGTGACCTTAGACACAAATCTCTCTGAGTTTCAATTTCCTAACCTGGAAAATTAGAGGACATTGGTCTAGAGGTTTCTAAGGTCCTTCCCAGCTCTAACATTCTGTAATAACAGAAATGTGACCATATTCTATGATGTATCTGTCCAACATGTGCAGTGTAGTAGGAAATAGTTTTGAATTTAGCAAAACCCTTTTTTACAAGCTGAGTTGATTAACTGAGATTTTTAACTTAACATTCCCAATAAGAAAAACATATGTGACTATGATCTATACTCCAATTCTCCAATGTGAGATGTAGAAGACTATCCTGTCTTGTTTGAGTGTGACAGAGCTATAAGTATATAGCCCACTGAGCAATTTGATGGAATCCAGCAAGGAAACCCTTGGTTACTCTCATGCATTTCCCCCACTAACGTTCCCAACCAAAGGCTATAGTTCATTAACAGTAAGGGACTTTATGAATGAAATGTCAACTCAGAAAGAGGCAAGATGTTGAAGTCTCACAGATGAAAGTTAATTATTGGTGCTGTGATGCTTTGGTACATGAAAAGACCCTTTTAGAACTTGTCCCATTTGCTTATTACCATAGCCCAGAATAATCTTTAAGATGCCCAAGTATTTAGGTTTCATCTAGAGTTTATTTCCTCCCCACCACCCCTTCCAAACAGAAAAAGGAAATTTGACAAAAGAGAAATCCATTAAACTCTTTTTAATTTCCAAATATATTATTATTTCTTTTTCGGCAAACAATCCAGTTTTAACAGCTTTTTATTGTGTAACAGACTTCAGTGAGGACATTAGTATAATAAGATTGACAGCAATCTGCTCTGATTGAGGAGTGGGAGATTAGAAAAGGAACAGATAGTTATGTATAATCTAAAAGGAATTTCTTTTTGGCTTTGGAAAAGAGTCAGATAGACTCTGGGACCAATCCAAAACCCCTTTCTATTTGTCAGCAGCCTGGGAACCTTCCCTAAAAGGGAGGTGACCTTAAGTCCTTGTGCATGAAGTATCAAACCTTCTCGCAGAAAGTCAAAAGTTGAGCATAAACATGGGTTAGCCCTCTACAGTATAGTAGTTTCATTAACTGTCAGAGAAATGTGCGAAATTCAACTCTCTGCTTAATTTACATATTTCCCATTGTTTTCAATTGTTTTCAACCATTAATGTTCCCCTAATGCTGTAAGGTTGACAGAGTGCTTTCTTCACAACAAACTTGTAGGTTATGCCACGGAAGCATTATCTCCATTTTACAGATGAGGAAACTGACAAGTGACTTGCCTAGTCACATAACCAGTAACTGAGCCAAATTCAGGTTTCTCCTTCCTCCAAATTCAGCACTCCTCCCACAAAATCACATCAGTAGTAATAATTCAGTGTGTGTATGGGGGGCGGGGGTGGAGAGACATAAACTCTAAAGTAAATCTGTCACCCTAAATAATCTGGAACAGGGTAAAGTGATCCCCAAGTGTTTTAGATGTTCATCTGTTATCAATCAGTACAAGATTGCCATATCAGTAGCTTTTTGTGGTTTAGCCTGAATAACTTGCCTATATTCAGTCCTTCATAAAATGTCCCAAAATAATGAAACACAGATTCAGTATAAGTCTTCTTTTTAAAGGAGTCATTGAATTCCAGGGTGAGCGGTGGCCAAAGATAACATTCCTTTCTTTGGGAACTAGCTATTTAATGACTGGCCTCTTTACTCTTCTTTAATAAGCAAGGAGGATGTCATGGGTAATGATGCAGGTCAGAATACAGAATTGATTGCAATGGATATTATATCATGTTTCTGTAAATTAGTTGGGAAAAAGTTTTGAGGAAAAGTATAAAATACTATTTTCTAGGTACCTTACAATGGCTTACTCTTGCTAAGTAGTCCAAAAAATCTGGTAGGAATACACCATTAAATTAATGGTAGAAGTGGCAGGATGAAGAAGATGGTCCTCTTCTTCAACTAATGGACAAGGACATCAAATGAGAAGATTCCTTATATACTAACTTACTTAAGTAATTCCATATTCTTATCTTTTGACAGCTTTAAAATTCTTAAAAATTTTGTCAGTTTTGACCAGCTCCCACAATAAAACATATTCAAAAGGGGGCTATTACCTTAACATGTAAAATCTGAACTGAAATCACATCAGTAGTAATAATTCTGACAGCAAATTGGTATTAATTATTGTAGTAAGAGTGATATCTGCCAGAAAGGCTAGACTAGTTTTTCCTTGGCTCAAGGTATCTCCTGGCTAAGCCACTGCCATAGGTTTCTTGCAGATAAAATATTAAAGAGAGAAAGAGAGAGAGAGAGAGAGAGAGAGAGAGAGAGAGAGAGAGAGAGAGAGAGAGAGAGAGAGAGAGAGAGAGAGAGAGAAGGAACCAGCAGTTTCCTCTCAGGCTTTTGACCAACTGACCAGCATAGCTAACACAGAGACACGAAAGGCTCAACTTGGCCAACACGCCCAAATGAATCAATGCAGTCACTTTGCTCAATATGCTTTCACTACTTTGGCTTTGTAAACTGAATTTGTTAACCCTTGATGGTTTACTAGCATTTCACTTAATCCAATATGAACCTGAAGCCTCAAACCAGACTGAATCAGGGCCAGTCTACAACAATTGGTAATATTTGGCGGTATTCCATTGGAATAACCTCACTGAAGCAGGTTAAGAGAGATGTGGAGGAAAATGAATCCTGTTGGCCTCCATACTTCTGGTGGAGCTGACTGAGATGGCCCGCCTTGCTGTGAGAAGATTAGAAATCTGTGGGAATTCAGCAAATAGAGAGAGATAAGACTATGCTATAAGCTGTCATTTGCCTAATTTATATAATTTTTGTTTTGGGGAGATTGTGATTTGCATGCCAGCCAGCTGTAATAGGCTAGGGCTAGAGGTGTGCTGGAGCCAGCTCCAAGTGGTTCAGGAGAACCAATTGTAAAATTTTCTGTGTGATCATTTACACCTTGGAAATTAGTAATCTATACATCAGGGCTTTATTTGTTGCTTTGTTGATTGCTTAGAGATGGAGAAAACGTCAATAATGCACATTAAACTTAAAAGTATGTCCTGCTTCCTTTTTTTTTTCTTTTTGGAGACCCAGTTGTTAAACATTTGCCAGAGCTCCTCTGGCTTGGTCCCTCCCTAAAGAATAGAATTAGGAGATTGTCTTAAAACAATCTGAAGCTGAAGGAACTGCTTGGGACTCTTGAATTTGGTACTTGGGAGGTCATTGGGAACTCCATGATCTTTGT